GATTTTCCACAATGAATAGATATCATTTTCTATTACAGAAGTAATGCATTCTTTAAAAAGATTTCAGTAATACAAAAGCGTACAGAGCAAAACGGAGAGAAGTCCTCTGCCCCGTGCCATTGGCTCCCTGTAGAGAACCCCTCGAATCTAGCACATATTAGCTTCCTTCCCTTTCTGATGTGTGTAGATTCTGGCATTTTAAGTGTGGGGGTGGAGTAGAAGAGGTGTCTCTTAGGAATAAAAGCCTTTTGGAAAGTCCCAGTCCCAGGGATTCCTGTGACCTAGACTAACGGTTTTCAAGCTTTCTGTTCTTTAGCGGCAGAACTCCTCTTAACATAGCATTTCCTAAAATGTGGCAGATGCGCTGCTATATTGGAAGATGACACTATATTAAGTATCACTGAAATACACTGAGAAAGTCCCTTTTCTATTCTGCTGCTTCTTCTGGACACTCGATGAGAAAGTATGGCTTTACCACCTCATGTCTCCCTGTCTCCTCTTTGACAAATGCAGAGCAGGACTCAAGCTCAGACTTTGAGTGGACAATGCTATCCATCAGCCACTTGCAAACAGTACTTGTTGTTGCATTTACTCTCAGGGCAAAGTTCTCTTCATGGGAAGTGATGCTGGTTGTACATTCACAATTGTGGTCTAAAGTTTTAAAGGGCATTGATTGAAATAAACGTTAGGAGAATCTGAGTACAGGTAGTTGGTGTCTCAGAAGGATGAAAGGTGGCCACGGGAACAACAAAAGTGATGGCTATGGATGCCTAATATTTAGAAAATCCTGTTCTAAGAAAACTGTACTAGGAGGCCAATCTATAAAACATATAAAAGTGGAATCTCTGATTGAAGGGGCACAGAGGCCACCCCCTCTCTCTGCCCCAGCCCAGCTGCAGCCCTAGAGCTCTGCAGAGCAGCTTGTAAATCCCTGCGCTGGAGAACTGTCTGAAGCTCTGTCTTGATGAAACATGAATGCCTTTGACAATATCTCAGACAACATACATCATATCAGTATCCACTGAGAAGGAGATTTGAGCAATCAGGGCAGAGATCTTGTGCTACCATGACCCAAATGACCGATGTCCCGCACACCTCTTAGGCATTGGGGTACAAGATATTGGTGTTGCTGGTTACAGTGAATGTCTCTCCCTCACTCTTCTAAGATCCACTGTTCATCTCCCCAGCAGCCCTGGTTTCTCTTGGGGATAGATGTTTTCAAAATTCCATCCCCAGTTTGAGGCAAACAATATATAACCTAGTTAAGCCAATCAGCATTCCCTTCTCTGGCTGATGTGATTGGTTCACAATTGGGCATGTGACCCAAGCTGGGCCAATCAGAGGAAATTTCAGGGCCTCTGCTGAGAATGCTGGGACAAAGATGCTTTCTCTTTCCTGCTGGGCATGGATTATAAAAAACAGTAGAGCAGATGCTGCTGTAGCCATCCTAGAGCTGCTAGGGATCTGTAGTGGGTTGAATTCCAAGTGGACACTTGGAACCTCAGAATGTGTTCTTATTTGGAGATAGGGTCTTTGGAGATGTAATTATTTAGGTTTGAGGTGAGATTGTACTGGGTTAGGGTCCTAAATCCAATGGGGTCAGTGTAAGAAGAGGAGAGGACACAGGGAGATATACAGAGAAAGCCATGTGAAAACAGAGGCAGAAACTGGAGTGATGTGACCATGAGCCAAAAAATACCAAGAACCACCAGATGCTGGAAGAGGCAAGGAAGGATCCTTCCTTAGAGCTTTTGTAGGGAGCATGGCTCTGTTGACACCTTGATTTCAGGCTTCTGGCCCCCAGAACTGTGAGAGAATAAGTTCCTGTTATTTAAGCCACCAAATTTGTACTAATTTGTTACAGCATCCCTAAGAATCTAATACAGGGACTCAGCCTTAGATGAGCCAACACTTCAGGAGGCTAAGTGGGCAGACAGGACAAAACTAGGTCCCCACAGACATGGGTGAGCTCCTGGGTCAGACCTTATCTGAGCACATTTAACTTCTGGACTTTGTAGTTACATGAACCAGTAACTTCCCTGTGTTGTTTAAGACAGGTGGAGACAGGGTTTCTATTAGTCATAGCCAGAGAATTCCCAGCTGACATGCTGGTTTAATTCACCGCTTCATTCCTCAACCAGAAAAGCATATAAGAAACCAGGTGAGGGAGACATCAGTGAATCTATTCTCACTGATGTTTACAAAGCAATGCCTTGCAAGCTTTGGCACCATTCTCAGAACTACCCAGAGGTCACTTGGTAACTGGGCAGGAGGCCTCAAAGGCATCACATCTGAGAACACTGGTCTTGGTGTAGACCTCAGGGGTTACCTGAGTGGCGCTCCCTCACAGAGTGGCGTCCCTAAGGGAAAACCATCTGAGTGTGGTGATGGCCACACTGATGGCACTTGGCAGCTGATGAAGCACTTTCTTTCTCATGTCTGAAGGAGATCTTGTGACCCCAACTTGAAGAAATAGACAACAGCAGAGGCTGGGGAATCAGAGGCTCAGAGAGGTAAAGGGATTTATCTACAAACCTCAATCAAGGGCCAGGCTTCAAGACCCTGATCCGGCATTCCATCCCACCAAGCCACCACTCCCAGCCAGTGGTTGGGTGACCCAGCTGATGTCACAGCTCTCTAGAGGACAGAAGGCACAGATTTTAGCTCCTGCCTTTCCCCATAGGGAGATAAACCATTAAGATGAATCATCTCTCATACAGTAGGGTGGGAGGAAATTCATTTCTCCATGTAGGTTTTCCGAAATTCTTGCCTGGTGGTTCAGTGTGGCAATATGATCAGCCTTTCTTCATGCGGCCAGTAGTCAGGAACGGAACATTCAGCCTCAGGGCACAGGTCATACTCAGAGTCATCCTGACATCTGCTCTTCCAATTTGCCATTGTCATCTAAAGGTAGAGGAATAAATGCAAAAGAAATAAAGTACTGAAACAGTCTGGCAGTTCTTCAAATGATTACACACAGAGTTGACCTGTGACCCAAGAGAAATGAAAACATACATCCACATAGAAACTTGTACATCAATGTTCATAGCAGCACTATTCATAATGGCCAAAAAGTGGAAACAGCCCAGATGTCCAACAATGGGAGAATGGCTAAACAAAATATGTTGTATCCGTATCATAGAATATTATTCAGTCTTAAAAAGGAAGAAAATTCTGACACATGCTGCACTGTGTATGAACCTTGAAGATACTATGCTAAGTGCCATAAGCCAGTTGCGAAAAGACAAATACTATATGATTCCACTTATGTGAGGTATACAGAGGAGTCAAATCCATAGAGACAGAAGGGAGAATTGCGGTCGCTTAAGGCTAGGTGGAAGGATGGGGTTGCTAGCTAAAGGCTGTGGGCTTTTTTCTGAGGTGATGAAAAGGTTCTAAAACATCCTAAATTGACTGTAGTGATGGTTGCACGTTATCAGTGAATATACTAGAAAAACTGAATTATACACTTGGAATGGGTAAATTGTATGGTGTGAGAACATATTCCAATAAGGCTGTTTTTAAAAAGAAGAAATGTAATAGAAAATAGAAATCTACAGGAGCCTAAACCAAGGATGAGGCTGACATGAGGACAAGCTCACATGAGGGCAAGGTATAAGGCAGCAGGAAAGCCTTCCAGGGCCAAAGTCTCCCCTGATGTTTCAGAGGTGGGGACCCCTTGTCAGAAGTGGAACCCAGCTAAGAGCCCATCTTGAAAGGCTGGAATTCAGCTTGACCTCTGGAGGGGCTGGAGACTAAAGTCAGCCACGCAGTGGTCAGCCATGTCTATGTCACCAACCTCCAATAAAAGCCCTGGGTACCTCCCTGGTCGGCAACACTCTGTATGTTGTCACACACCGTTGCTGGGAGCATTAAGAGCTGTCCATGTGACTCTACTGGCAGAGGACAACTGGAAGCTCATGGCCTGGTCTCTCCTGGACAGCGGCCTATGCACTTTTTCCCATTGCTGATTTTAATATACATCCTTTAGCTGAAATAAATGCAACCATGAGTATAACAGCTTTGCTGAGCTCTGTGAGCCCTTCTAATGACTTAGTGAAGGTGAGGGTCCCCTGCTTTCTCTGGGCCTCAGTCTCCCCAATGGACTCAAGAATGATACTGGGGGGGGCAAGGGTAACATACGTAACCTAAACATCTGTACCCCCATAATACGCTGAAATGAAAATAAAAAAAAAAAGAATAAAAAGAGAAAATGAACAGAGCTGTGAAGCAAAAAGAGAAAGGCAGAGGAGAGGAAAAGCAAGGACCCGTGACCTGGAGTGGAAGGGAGCAAAGCAGGAAAGACAAAGAAAATTTAGGAGGAGGAGGGAGAAGGCAGGTGAGAGGGACGGGGAAGGGCAGAGAGGCAATTCACAGGTGAGTGCGGCAATTATTGGTAAACTATTATCATTCCTTCTCAGGTCACTTGGTTTGTGGGTACCAATGTATATCAATAATCAGTGCTATTTGAAACATCTGTCACCTTTCCTATCATTTAAAAGAATCCTTTAAATCAACATAATATTTTTAAGAAAAGGTCTCACTACGTTGCCCAGGCTGGTCTCCAACTCCTGGACTCAAGCGATTCTCCTACCTCAGCCTTTTGAGTAGCTGAAATTTACGGGGACACATCGCCACATCCGGTATAATAAAATTTTATTTTGTTTCCAAAAAAAAAAAAAAAAAGAATGATACTGGGTTTAAGGATTCTCAGACAAGCATCAGCGGGTTCCTCCCATTCCGGCCTCATTGGCTCTACACCACCCGTTCCCTTCCACACCTACTCCAGCCAATCCTCGCGCTAGCCCGCTTCTCGCCCCGCCCCCATAGCGTCCCGCCTCTAATCCCGCCCACTCCCTGCTTCAGGCCTGCGCGCCAGCCACGCCCCCGTAGCCTCATTGGTATCCGGCAGATTCAGGCGTCCTGCTGTTCCCCTGTGTGACCTAAATCCCGGAGACGGCAATGGTGGCTCTTCGGGCCAAAGATGGGGAGGGTAAGTAGTGGGTGTCATTAGGCAGTCGGCCTTGGGCGTCCGGTCGGCCTCCCACACAGAGCTGGCTCCCCACCGCAATCCCCACGTGGGCAGCGCCACCGCGGGATTCGGGCTCCTCAGGGCTACTGTCCTGTGATGGCAGAGTCGGAAGAAACTCTGGCGCCCAAGTGGTCTTCGCGTGGGTTACACGATTTCAGGGCTTATTGGGGCTTCCGTATTAGGAGTGGAGACGGCAGCTACACAGGATACGTTCGCTTCCTACTGAATAATCACAGACTACGTTCTATGAGCCCCTCCCCCACCAGCTTTCGTCTCCAGGGCAACCATCAACTGAGGAAACAAACGCCCCGAGTTTTACTCCGTGGCAACTGTCTGTGCACTGGCTCTAGGCAAGGGCCTCCCATTACAGGTTGCCAGAAAACAAACCTGACCAAAAAGGAAGCAGAGCTGAGAGAAGCAGAGAACAGATTGCTGGCAGGTCATTTAGCACCTGGATCCATTTGTTCCAGAAGGTGAAACTTTTCAATTACATGGGCCAATAAATTCTCTCTCTTCCGTAAGCAAGCAAAATACTCTTGGCTGATAATAATTCTCTATTTCATACCATAAACCATAAAAATCCAGATGGAATAAAATTTTAATTGTTAGAAAATTATAAAAGTACTAGAATAAAATACAAGAGAACTTTTTGTTATAATCTTGGGGGTAAGAAAGGCCTTTCTATACTATAAAGGAAATACAAATAGATTTGAATACTTAAAAATTTTAAAATTGTATATAGCAAAATACACCACAAACAAAATTGAAAGAGAAATAAAAATCGAGAAAAA